CGCAAGAAGTGCACAAACAATTTTGTGTTTTGTTAATTCTAATTTCGTCGGAATTGATAAAAACTCTCTAAAATGTGCAATTTTTAGAGGAAATTGGCCTACTTAAACAAGAAATGCGCGCGAAGCACGCGAAATTTGAGATTCTTAGGCACTTTCAGGTGGAAAAGGGCATCTTCGAGGGGTGGGGAAAGATTTTCCACAGATGGATATTTTCCCCTTGTCCCCCGGTGGTTACGCCACTGCGGAGAATATCTGGCGGCTTAGATCAAAGGAGCTATAAATAAAACTCTAAAAATGCGTGCGAAGCGCGCAAGAAATGTTGTGTTTTTAATTCAAATTTCGTCGGAATTAATCACAACTCCCTAAAATGTGCAATTTTTAGAGAAAATTGATCTACAGTACCATAATAGAAAATGCGCGCGAAGCGTGCGAAATTTGACATCTTTAGGCACTTTTCAGGGGAAAAAAGGCATCTTCAAATGGTGGGGAAAGATTTCCACAGATGGATATTTCCCCTTGTCTTCCGGTGGTTACGCTACTGCGGAGAATATCTGGCGGCTTGGATCAATGGAGCTATAAAAAAAAAAACAAATTTTGTGTTTTTAATTCTAATTTCGTCGGAATTGATGAAAACTTCTAAAATGTGCAATTTTTTATAGGAAATTGGCCTATTTTAACAGGAAATGCGCGCAAAGCACGCAAAATTTGAGATTTTTACGCACTTTACGGGGGAAAAGGGCATCTTCAAGGGGTAAAGATTTTCCACAGATGGATAATTTCCGCTTGTCCTTCCCCCTTCTCCCTGCCCCCCACCTGTTACGCCACTGACCACTTTATTCTGCATTATATTTTCATGAATGTGTATTTTTATGCAATTGTTATCGGCCTATTTAAATCTAAGTTTTGACCCATAGATGGTTTTTAGTCACTATATAAATAATATTACACGTTATTAAATTAATTAAAATGATTTAGATAGAACAATTATAAAATGTATATACAGACAATGATTTTGAGAACATTAACTGCATTAAGAATTTATATATTGTATATAACGATGTTATAATAGGCCCACTGTATTTAAATTAAAAGGCATTTTACGACCTATGAATCGTTTTTAAGTCAATATGTAAATAATGTTACACTTACACAACAACAAATCTTTAACTCTGTTTTTTTTTTTACTGTTGTTTACATTTTCACTCAGATTTTCCGGCCTAATGCCATTGTATGAAAAGGACTCAAAACAATTTTAGAGCAGTCTCCAGTCTGAAAATGTAAGAATGAAAAAAACAACACAACAATGGATACCGCAATTAAATCGAACACCATGAAGGCATACAGGCTGGTACATCTACAGTATGGTACACTACTTACATGTGTATGTTTCTTAGTTACTTACATGTGTATGTTTGTGTATGTTTCTTAGTTAGAAGAAACACCATTCCAAAATTAAATATTTCAGAAGGTGTTTTTGTGACGACGTGTCTACGACACAGTTTCGGAAGTTCACATACACGCTTGCTTCAACCGTAATTTGGATATTATGAGACAGGTGCACAACCAACCAGGTATCTGAAGGAAAATTGCCCTACCAGGCTAAACCTACACATTTTTAGTTCAGCGCTCACGCCTTCCTTATTAGCGCCCCCACTCGAATTTGTCTAGAACTGGGGCCCAAACGGTATTCGACCAGTTTGTCAAAATCCATTTTGCCGAAACCCATGATTGCCGAATTAATGGCCATTTTGCCGAATCCAGTTCACCGATCATATGACAAACCCAGTTTGCCGAATCATTTGCCGTCACCATCGTACAAAAGTACAGTAGGCCTATACTGTGCTTTTGAAAACATGATGGGTGGATCAGGGAGGAGCCATATTTCCATTCCTGTATTTTTCACCCATGTAAACGCTCCGCTTTGAATAAACGCCCCTTCTAGAGCCTCATTTGGAATAAACGTCTCTTTCGAAAACACCGCGTGGCGTAACTTCCCCTTGACTGTAAACATATCTTATGGAAACATCATTCTCAACACTTCGTACTAATAATTTTACTCCAGTAGAATTATATTTCTATTACAGGGGAATTAAGGGGCGTTTTAGTATATAAAGTAAGTATCCATTTTAAACAAAAAATATAAATGCCTGCCTCGAATAAACACCTCCCTCGAATAAACTCCCCTTCAAAAACCATTCTCAACAATAACTATCCATATAACGTTATTTTCATTGTCAATTTCTAATATTGTTTTATAAAAAAAAAAAAAAAATACCCCAAAAACTCCCAACGCGAACACATGGATTTTTTAAGCCCCTTGATTCGGGTCTATAATTATTATAATTTATTTATTTATTTCATTTAGGTATACATATTATATTAATTAAACTGTATACTGTACATATATCTTAATTAAACTTTATACACTTACTATAAATATGCTTATAAGACATTTTATTTCACAGGCCTATTTAATTTTTTTTTTTTTGCAGATAGCTAGCTTGTTAATCAAGATTGATTTACAGAATAATACAAAACCAATCATTAAACTACAATAAGCAGTTATTTATTATACGAATAAACAGAGATCACATTGGACTTCGCATTGGAAGGCTTATAAATTCTCAATTTCGCAATTCTGGAATTTGCCTCTTTAACAATGTCATGTAATAGATAGTTTCTTTTTTTCCTCGATAAATCATGTAATTTTCTTTCTCCTTTGAGAGTGGAAAGAACAATTTCCAATTATGGATGAATTGTCTATGCCCTTAATTTCCGCTGGCTTCACCAGTTTACCGCAGTCACGGTAAAAGAGTGCTCCATCACGAATGTTCTGCTGTTTTTAATGTTTCACTGCTTTTGACTGACTTTTGGTAAACTGGGATTTCGGCAAAAGTGGACTAGGAAATCTGGGATTCGGCACAGTATAGTGTTCGCTACGAAATTTTTCGATGGGAAGTACAAGATCCCGTTTCCCCAGATCATCTATCCCTTACCTCCACTGGTGGCGCCGACACTGATTTCCGACTTCAAATACAAAGACCTCTTTTGAGGAAGTGCCCTTATATGGCATTTTCTTCTTACTGATTTGAGTAGACATACATTACATTATAAACAGAGGAAACAATAGAAAGTTCACTCATATACTGGGACTTAGCAGGGGTAGTTTTAACCATGTAGTTTAGTCACTTTTTTAATATATAAATTATTATTTTATAAATAAATTATTAATACCAGGGGTGACTTGTGGGGGGATAATTTTACCTGCGTTATCTAATATATTGTTTACAGCAGGGGTGACTTGTGTGTGGGGGGGGGGGAGATTATTTTACCTGCGTTATATTTACTGTATCTAATATATTGCTTACAGTTTACTACTACATTTTCAATTCTAAGCCGACCCTTACATACAGTGCTGTTTCAACGTAAATATTATGTTTACAAATGGCTATAAAATGATACTGAACCAACAGCTATACCTACCATACTACCGAGGAGACAATGAACCATTCCGCAACACATGAGAACATATGCCACCGTTTACCGTTTATTTTCCTTTTGATGTATCGTTTAAGAGTTTTCAAAGTGGGTCTCTACGTATCAGCTATGCTGGAAAGTGTCACCCACTTTAAATATTGTTTAAATAAATAAAATAAATAAATAAATAAGGCCACTGTCCTTCCTTCAAGATTTAAAGTTAGTGAGCAACTAGATACCATACCCATGCTCTGCATAGATGGGGCTGAGGTGGGCAAATTCTTCTAAAATTAAGGATTGTCAAAAAAGTTGTCAATTAATTTATAACACGAGCTTGAAATGCATAGACTATGTTTAAATATAATGAATATGTAAACGGCAGAGGTGCAAAGATTAATAAATTTATACAATTGATAGGTAAATAAATTTATTTATTAATAAATTTATACAATAATATTGTACTCAAATTGTAGAAGTTGGTGCATATACGCACTATTTAAAACCATTAAAAAAAAAAATTTAAAACATTAAAAAATAGGCCTAGGCCAATATAATTTTTTAAAAAAAGGATAAAAATAATTATTATTATAATTAATATTATTACACAATTATCATCATGCTCTTCTATCGAGAACGGTAAAATATAATACCGTATAATTATCAATATAATACGCCTCTTTCTATTTTTTTTTATATATAAGAAAAAATAGGATATAAAAATAAAATAATTAAGAAAACAAAAAAGTGTAATTATTGCGTCGTGTTAAAGAATGTATATGTATGTATATATGGCCTGTGTATATGTATGGGATATATATATATATATAAAGTAATAAAAATATGAGAAAAAGTGGTTCAGCCAAGCCGGTGCTGTCCCAATGCCTTTGCCCTGGTTATGTCAGTGAAAACGACTACTTATGTTGGGTTTCAATGCTTGCAGCTTCTTGTAGTCAAGGGATATGTCGTTTTCTTTTCCTTAAATTGTAAGTTTTACTTTCTAAAAATACTATCATTTGTACTTATAATGCAACTTTAAATTTTAAAGACAATGTCACCCTTTGTGCCCCAACATGACGGAATAACCCTTAAAAAACAAGCACATCTTTACCTCATTAATATGTTAAGGCATGGTCTTACAATGATGAATATTGTATGAAATAATGTAAATAAAAGAAAACGCTAGTCAGTGATTTATGTTTATTACTTCCATATTTGTATCTATCATTTTATATAATTGTATACGACTTTAATTTGTTTACGTAGCACACACATCGGTACTGTACATACATTTGAACACTATGTGTGTGGACTAACTGATTGCTCAAGGTTTGTATCCTGTCTTCTAATAATTTACTATAATTTAATCTACAGAGGAGGAGAAATCCACGATAGATCACTTTGCGATTTTCATGTACATTGTAAATACAGTACATTCCTTCAATTTAAGTGCACTCAACATAAATGTTCAGGCTGCCAAACATTTGCATATGACATTTTTTTTCCCTACTGGCTTGCCCTCAACCTCCCAGTAGTTTTATTTTGTTGTATTATTAGTTGTTATATACATTTACTGTTATGTATTTTGTACATTGGAGGAAATAAATATATTATTACATTACTATAAACAAAGGGGTAGACATTTTGATATTCATGGTTTATTAAAATGAAGAGTATCAAATAAAATATAATCTATAATCTTTTAAAACTTTAAAGCATTTAATATGTTTATTAAGTTAATAATAGAAAAAAAAAATACAGTAATAACAATAATAATTATTGTGTAGTATTAATTATGCATTTTGTTCATTTGTATTTCTCATCCAAAAGTGAGTGAGTTACAGGCTGGAAATGATGCTCTATAGTTTCATAAGACTGTAGGGTGCGGAATAGTTTTCAGTCTTTAGAAAAAAATACTAATTTTGATAGGATTTGAACCCAGGACCTGAAGCTGTAAGCAACATTTTAACCACCACACCACAGCCCCACCAGCTATCTACAGTATGTAACTGGGCTGCCATAACAGCTCAAGTTTGGGTCCATCAACAAGATAAAACTGGGCTGCATTGGCAGCCAAAGCTACACGGCCTGCTCAACAAGGGCTGCATTGAGTGCTCACACTTAGCTGCATCAAACTGTGTTTCACTGACCACTAATGTGGTCTCCACTCAGCACACTTTCCCAATTGAGTATTATTTATTATTAATTGCAAATATATATTTTCTAGGCTTAGACAGCCTCCAAGAGTATTTCCTGAAGGCGTTGTAATCGTCTATTGAGTTGGTTTGAGTCTGTTCCTGGGTTGCTGCGGTTTAGCAGATTGACAGCATTACGGTATTCTAACTCTGTATACACAGCTCCTTGTTCTACAATTCCATTTAAAATATCCTGAAAAAAAAAAGACAATAATTAATATTTTGATACATATCAGATGATAAGTTATAGTATGTGATACGATATGATATATTACACATCAAGTTTGTATATAATAAATATACTTCAGTTATCATTATTGAAATAAATTAACATCATTATAGGGTACATATATATAATAATATATGATAATAATATACAATAAATAGTATAATCAGAATATACAATTATATAATATATAATAAATAATTGGAATAAAAGACTACATACATTAGTTTGCAAAATAGAGGGTAGAATAATAATGTAATCAACAGTAAATGGAGAAAATAAGAATAACATACATCACTTGATTTATACATTAACTCGTAGTACTGTTTTGCACGTTCTAGATCTGCTTCCCGAGACATTGTAATGTTGGTCAAGCTTAGTTGAAGTACAAAGATGTTACGGATCCTAAAATGGTGATTAAACGCATAAAAACAATTTTTAAAATACTAATACATAGATATTAATTAATAATTTGATGGATGTAGTCAGAAAAAAGACCTTTGCAATATTTACACAAAGGCATTCTTATAACCTACACACATCCAACAAACTGATGTACAAATAAAGTATCTGCTAAGAATTAACATTATGTTGTCAAATTAAGTACAGTAATCAAAATTATGTTTATTAAAACCATGTTTATAATACATTACAATTAAGAGTTTTATAAGGGGGTAAATCCTGTGTTAGACGTAACACTTTGAGGACATATAGAAATAAATAATAATATTTAATTGCTTACATCTTTTTTATGCCATTATCATTAATCCTCTTGATGTACTGGGTACCATTAATGAGAATGAATGAAATCAGGTGACCAAGGCCCTCGAAGATGTATTTGAACTTGTGAGACTGCAGCGCCACCACCAGGGCCTCCTCAATACTCGTTAGATCCTTGTTTAACGTAACAACATTCTGGTCAGGATCTACACTGTCCACACTGGTGTGGTAACTAGACTGTTGACAAGGCAAAGTGGATAAAAAAAAAACCAGTTTTTTCTGACTAGGAATTACTATTTCATAAATTAAATAAAAATTTTAATACAGTACAAACAATTAGTTACTGGAAAGACCTGATCAAGTGTATTAACCTTCTACTGCACTTATCTTCAATGTTAAGATTATCATTATTATCGTTAACCATCGTAATCATTCATCTATCATCATGATCATTATCAAAACCAATTGTGAACTGTTGTTACAAAATAGTAATAGAAGTTCAAGCTTGATTGAGCGCATTTTGCTAAAAGCTGATAAATTTTGTGTTGGTTTTCCTATCAACTCTGAAAAACGGCTTTACATAATTGCCTCAAAAACACCTTTCCTTTTAACTTAACACAAAACTTTTGCTACCTTATCAGAAACAATTATTTTTTGGTCAAAATATCACTTCAGATATATATTTTTTTGAATATATCAAGTTGACCTGACTCCTCACCATTATCATTAGCATCACCATCACACCCATCATAATGATTATCATCATCACCACCATCATAATCCATCACCCCCAACATAATAATCACCTACTGTATATTATTATCCTCCATCATCATTATTCATCTAGTATAATCATTGAAAAATCAGATATATGTGAAGTCCTTACCTGTTTAACAACTGGAATCAAAAAGTAAAAGCAATGAAGTCGAACTTCAAGATGAAGTACTAGCAGACACATCTGGGCCATGTCCTGGAATTCCTTAGCCTGGCTTATCAGATTCTGTAGGTTTATACCATCAACCTCTGGTATCTCCTGAAAATATACCAAAAATAACAAAATGCTTTTATTTTTCATGTACTTCTTTACAATGAAAGATGGATGGTAAGTTGACAATAATTTTGATTAGACACCTTATCTTCTATTCCAAGCAAGGGGGTATGGTGGTGTGCGAAAATGGACAAATAGGAAGTGCACCCACTGCACCAAACCCTCCCCACTCCCCATCCTCGATGTGGCCCTGCCAAACAAGTATATTTGGTCTTCATATGTCAAGAATGTTGAAAGTTGCTCAATTATATAAGATACACTGAGAAACAAATGACTTTCTGTATGATACAGACTCTATTAAACAAATTCCTTTCTATTGGCACATATTACAATTAAAAGAATTTACTTATGTCTGATTTCAATCTAACTGTAATTTATGTTTAACAGTGAGAGTATTACCAGTGGAGCTATTCCAGATGTTGCCAATGTGTTTTCACCACTTGAGGGCAGTCTACCTGCAAATGATCGTATCCTTTCAGAAAACCATTCCTGCAATGACAAAATTATGAAGAATTCCATCATTATCCACTACAACCATTATCCTTTTCTCTACAATTACTACACTACTTATACCAGTCTAGAGTGAATAATTCTAGAGCAGATTTCACTGTATCTAAACAGGGATGAGCAGGTGAGTGCAGAAAAACATTAAGAGAAAGAAACTACTAAAAAATCATGCTCCAAAATTGATGTGTGGTCCACACAGCACTATATACAATAGAAGATGATGAAGTCTACAAGATGGCAAGATAAAGGAGAGGTTTCATGATGCTAATCACCAGATCTACTAAAATTTTCACCATGATTACGGTTACCATCTTTATCCTCATCATTACAATTTATAAAGGCACAACCATCTTCAACTACCTCTTGCATACTATGAACCTCACCACCACCATTTATCACAAAAACACCAAATCACTCTGATCTGGATGGATGGATGGATTTACTTGAGTGTAGTATACTCATGAAGGTCCCAAGAAGATTTATTTCCAGTGGGGTCCTTCTGGTGGTGATTGGCAGTTCACCGGGAGACAATCCCCTACTCTTTTCTGAAGAGTGTACTATGTTATTTATCATGTACATGGGCCATAATGCACACAGGAGCCACGGCTTAAACGTCTCATCCAAAAGACGGTGTGCTATCGTAACTGGCATTTCAGCCCTTCAGCTGAAACACAAGGAGAGCAGTGATAGGAATTGACATGGGGACCTAGAGATCTCCATGTTCAGTTGATTGAACTAAGCTGCTCTCTAATACTGAGCTAAGCTACCTCCTAATGTCTAACACTTTCTTCTTACAAATGTCACAATTGATAATTAAATATTCACATTACACTAATTTCAGGAAAGGGAAACTTCACAAATGTTAAGTATACACAAAACAGATTAATTGATTGGTTGGTTGGTTGATTAATTAGTAGGACTTACAAGACTTTCATGTAGATTAGCCAGAAGCCTGAGGTCACTGACATCAAGTAGCACTTCATGCTGCTGCAGTAATTTGTCTCCAAGGTTTGTGACAAGTAAATCAGACTCCTGAAATCAACAAATAAATGCAATTATAAAAGTTGAAAGAATGCATATGGCTCAAGAAAGTTTCTTGATGACCATATGGTTTGGCTTTTTCAGTTTAGAAAAGAATTTATCTACATAAGTGTAAATTTATCAATAACTGCAGTAAATTTTTTACTATCACCATCTGCGGTCCAGGTAAATGTATTGTATGTTTCCACGGCCCGCTGGCCTATGACCAAGAGCAGCGTAGCCACCCATCTCGCGTCAAGCTTGCTAGCTACGCCTGTTGCTGTCTCAAAACTTTTCATGCTCTTGTAGAAAATGACGCCAGCTTTCGGCCACATTACCTGAATCCACATCTAGAGGTAATGGTGCGGGTATAGTATACATCGCCATCGTAGTCCCCAATGTAATGTGGTGTACAATAATGGGTAACTAATAAAGACACGTACTACAGTTATACTTGTTGCTTTCTTAAATGTTTATTGCCTCATCCTCTACTCGCTAGCCACATATGGGTCATATCCCGGTCATATGTTATAGGTCATACTCTACTTATTCACCATAGTCCACTGGACACTACAATAAGATGCATATTGAGGCTTCTATTTAAGCCTCTTTTGATATATACAAACCTTTTCATTTCTTTCTCTAACATCTTCAATTGTCTCCACATCACTATCTCTAACATCCTTCCTTCGATATTCTTGTAAGTTTATCCAGTTTGGCAGTGATCGTAAACATCGGCTGATATCTTCGTCTTTCACCCAAGTGGCACTAACCATTCGCTTCTCCTCTGTTTCTGGTTGCACAATACCTAGGAAGAAATATATTTTGAATGGCATTAGACAATGCATAGGGCCATTGATCAACAGAATATCATGCACATTAATAAACTGAATCTACATCACCAATTTACAGTAATTTATTGGATTCTTACCTCTATACATCGCATGACAAGTGTCTTTATATTCCTTGAGGATCTTGCAGATCATGTTGAGGAACTGATCAGCATAGTCTGGCAGATAAGTCATCATGTCCTTTAATTCTGAGACTGCCTTCTCCATGGCAACCGTCGTCTGCAGCAAAGGTTGCGCGGCACCTACTGCCTTCTGAGTTGTGAAGTCTGTGAGTGCTTTATCAGAATCCCCTCCTGTTAGAAAACGATGCAAGTGGATATCAACAAAGAGAAACAGACACACAAAAAGAAGTTTAAAAAGTAGAAACAAAATAAATAGTATGTATATGAAATATATAAAACATCTACTTGGAGCCTCTAAAAAGGGATGAGACCTAAGATTGGGAGGCCCATGAGCATGTTTTCGATATTGGGGTGGCAGCCAAATGCTTTATTGAGTGATATTTACAAGCACCCGTAAAAAATTAATCCAACTTGATGCTTCACCTCTGGTTGCCGTCTGAATATTCTTGTCAATTTCCTGCTGCATGTGGCTCAGGAAGATATGATGAATGTAGTCACTGACAAAGATACGTAAACTGCACTGACCCCTAAAATTCACAACAATTTAGATAAATTGTTTGAGGAAAAAAAATGAGGTAATTATAAATAGAACAAAATGTATGAATTTAAAACTACTAATAAAGTAAAACTGCCATAAGCAAAACATATTTATTCACTAGCTTTCCAAATGATAATGAATTGTCTCTTATAGTGCATAAAGCAAAGGCTTCTTTACACTTTGTACCTCAGTTAATCGGGTTTTTTGACCTATTAATCAGAAATTACCTCTACTGATAACAAGGAATATGCCAATTGTGGAATTTGGCCCACAACCATTTTGAGTATCAGCCACATTGGCGAATGCCACTGTGCGAGTGGTAGCACAACTCACCCACTGTCTAAGTTCATAGCTGCTTCAATGTCGTGGATAAACTGGCTAAGGGGTCTGTAAACCTGAATGACATTCTTAACACTGGGCTTGCAAACCATCTGCATCTGCTCACAGTCCTCCTCCACTTTCACGTTACCATCCTGAATGAAGATAAATAATAAACTATTGAATTGTTGTTAGTTTTTTCCCAAGGAGCTGAGTATATGTTCTATATGCATTTGACCCAGTGACTGTGAAGTGCTTAGGCCAATAGTATTTTCCTTTTATAAATAACATCTTAAGCCAAAACTTAAATAACCTCCACCTACACTCTTTTCAACCACTATAGCATCAAATTATTATTAGATCCTATTTTTCAGTATAAGTCCATAACTTACCGCCCCATAAAACTCTCTCTTCTGCTCACGCATGTAGTTATTCATGCTGATGGCGTGAGACGAGGATTCAAACCGAAACAGAACTTGTCGTTTAGGTCGCATCATTTTCCTCTTGGCAAAAAACATACCAATATCGCTACTGAAAACAATAAATAAGAAAACATAGATGAACACTATAATGTTTGATAAATAAAAGAAATAATTTTAAAAATAATAATAGCTTTCTAAATTAATCAATCCTCTTACGTTGTGTTTTCTGAGAATGTATCTGCAACCTGGTTGTCTACTGTGGCATTCTTCATGTCCAGGTAGCTACTGAGATGTAACTGAAGCTGTACAAACAAATTATAAATATAATGTAAGTATATAATGGTAAATATGAATTTGTTTTCAACAACAAATCTAACATTCGTTAAAATACATTTTAACGAATGAGACAAAAAAAGAGACAATTGTTGGATATTTAGATTGTACAATTTGGGCATTACATTTCTTAGCATCTTGCAAATTGACAAGGCTTCCGTTAACTGTTGAGATATGTAAAATGGACATAAAAATAGCACAGAGCCAACCTTGTGTAAGATGATACTAATAAAAAGAAAACTTACCACTGATTGAATCTGTGACCAAATATCATCCATTGTGTACATCTCATTGTCAGAGAATCCAGCCTGAAAAAATGTAAAAAGATATATATGTATTATTTTCTGTCAATCCTGTATATACATTCACAAAATTATTTGTATTTTTTTTCTTCCAAATTTCGTATGTATTAAACTGCTGACAAGCTAAATTTGTTCTAGTTAATTTGTTTATTACTACATTGAAAATGCTCAGTAGGTATATATAGCAATAAAACTGTATTGAGTTCAAATGATTACTCAATATATATACAGTATACAACAAATTTTATTTTATATTGAATGAATACTAAATTCAAAGGAGATGGTATATGAAACTTACCTTGAGTCTGTTAATGGATCCTAGGATTGACATGTGGGCTACTGCTACAGAGTGGAACCGATCAAACAGCAGCTCCAGTAGCTCAAGGAGTAACTTAGGTTGGTTCATCAACACTATACTCTCTCCTCTTTGTTTAGCACTGACAACAAAAGCATTTAATGGATTAACTGGATGTTAAATGTATTTTAGTAATCAAAGATTGATATCAGAATTATGGATGACAAGTAGAAAAGTTTGGTATATATGTGATAAGACAAGAGAAAAACAGTGCTTGTAAATTATTATTACAACAGTCATTATCATCAATATTATCATTACCGTCATCACTTTTACCACAATAATCATCATCCTCATCATCATCATCATCATCATCATCATCATCATCGCCATTGTCATCGCTGTTGCTACAGTCATCTTCATTGGCACCCTCATTGTCATTGTCATCATCATAGTTATCGTCATCGTCATCATCATAGTTATCATCATCATCAGTCTATGCTCACCAACGCACGAACACCACCAACAAATTTATTATCATTATCATCACCATCTTTGGCTCATAGCCTTTTAAGATTTATCATCCCTTACTGGTTCCATTTTTTTTTTCTATTTGGGGCTTGCCATGCCAAAGCTAGCATCAGTGGCAAAAACATGAAAATTCATATTCTCCACATTATAAATATAAACTTTAAAATGATGGGTCATTTACTGGAATCGACTTTCTATTGCCAAAGGATGAGTAAAAATATTACGGCTTTTCTGTACTAAAGTATACAATACTGACACATTCTTATGCTAATTACTCATTTTAGCAATAGCATCAGTACACTGGCTTTGGGATGGCAAGCCTCATGTATCCATATTTCTCTATCTTAACACTGGTTTATAAATGAAAAAATATTGACCAGTACATGATACAGTAAATCTCATATAAAATCTCTAAAACACCACAGTATTATTAATATGTTGTTCACTTGGAAATACTATTTTAAACATTAATTAATTATTAATCAAAATCTTAATATACACCCATGCATAATAATTATAAACCTGATATTCTATCACACCATTCCACGTCAAAGAGAAGGGGTAAAAATATTAGGAAGGAATTAGTGTAGGTTAGTAAATGCTTGACGAGCCACTAGAGCCCGTAGGACTGGAGCTTATCCCCAGGTTCTGTAGTGTGAAGTGGATGACAGTGTGATGCTACCCTGGGTGGGATGCTAGTCCACTGCAGGTTAATCCCAGCAGTTTGCTGGTACCCACTGATACAGCTGGGTAGATTGAAGCAATGTAGATAAAGTGCCTTGCCCAAGGACACAAGAGAAATGAACAGTAAACAATTGAAACCCTGATCTCGAGGTTGGGAAACCAAACCATTACCACTGCTGCATCAAACTGCTTTGTACAGCATGGGTTAGTAGTTAACTTGTACAGTAAATATGTATTCATCAAGATCATATTCACAGAAAACATTAATACAGTATGTAGAATATTTTTTAAACTAAAACATAAGGAATTAAATGCTTAATAAACTGCAAGACCACAGGTAGATCTGATAAAATTAGTATTCCCGTAAATAACTACTTTTTGAATACTCAATCAAATACTTGTTAGAACACTGTAAACTTTTAAAAGGATCCCTTGACATATAACTTACAAACAAGACAAACAGCATATTAAATTATTACATATTTGTACACTGAAATATAGATCTATATCATTACAACAGAAAATTGAGAAAAGACTGCTTACATACAGTGTATTAAATACTTTATACAAATAAATATTTTTAATGACAGTACACACAAAACAACTGTTTCATGCATGTTGAGGATTAACCTACACCACAAAAACCTCTCCATCAAGAACCCTAGAAAGTCCTGCAACAATGGCATATCCAAGGGCTGGTAATACCAGTAGTATCAAAGCTTTCGTCCTCTACTGTCCCCAATAAATATTATCAAAGAGCCAGAATACACATTTTGGCAATCTCTGAGGACCAGAATGCACTTAAATAAATAAATAAGCACATAAAGAAGTCATCAAAGGAATTATGATTCTGACGCCCTGCGAGGTCAGACCAAGTACTAGTACACTACACCAACCTATTCCCAATCCTTCCTCAGGATATGCCATTGCTGAAAGATGTGTATAATCATGCATACAGATAGAAAAAAAAACCTGTTTGAATGAATATAATACCACTTGTGCCTCACCTCCTAAAAGGGTATTGTGAAAGGAAAAATCTTTGGAAATATAGATAGAAAAAAATGATAAAATTAGAAGTGTGAGGATATGAATAAAAAATAGGGACATATTTTAAAACTGCACTCTGAAATTAATTACCATGTACAGACTATGTCTTGGAATCTGTGACTTAACAATCTTTTTTATCTGTATTTGATGTTTTTGTGAGTCCCAATAAAATTGAATAAAGAAAAAAAAAAAACCAGGGGTGTCAGACCCTAAAGTAACTCCCACCCCAAGCAACATCAAGGGTTGGTATTATAGTGAATCTTGAATAATTAATGTAGTAAATAAAAATATAATAAGCATTATGTACTTCCTGTGTGTTTCACAAGATTCTACAACAAATATTAAAAGCTAATGAAATGCTTAAGTGCAACTTATGAGAAAATAATGTAAAGGACTCTGAAACAAAAGCTACTCCACTGGTTACAGCACATAATGTGTGACATTTACTCTGTACTGAAAGCATGTGCAAAAAACATTGGTATTCTATTCAAGTCATGTATTCAGCAAAGAAATACTGTAAATATTGCTACTAAATGTTAGTACAACCATACTTTGTTAAATTATAAACATGAAATATTCAATCAATTTGATTTCTTATAAAGTGTTTTTAAGTCAGCCATTTGAATGTTATCTTCTTTTTTTATAATTATTATTATTATTCTTTATTCTTTCCAGGCTCAAAAATACATTACAGAAAAAAAGTTAAAATAATGGTTGCAACAATATATGAATAACATTTTTTTTAACATTCTCAAAATTAATAATACAATTTGTCTAGGCTAAATTAAATAAAATAGAAATTTCTGAAACACTCAATATATATGCATTTTTCCAAAACATTTTAATGTTATTGTGAGACATAATTTTTAAATCTCAGCAAATTGTGACATTATATTACATATTATCATGACACAATTGTGTTTGCCATCATACCCATTATTTTGAATAATATTATCATTTCATAAATGATACTATCAAGTGACACTAGTATGAATGTCATTATGTGGCAATATGTAAAATGTCATCATTTACATCATCACAATCAACAATTATAATTAAATGGAAGTAGCAGAGGAAGTAAACTTACTTTTCAGCGACTTCAGTTGTAGCCCTCTGGACAATATTTGCCAGTTCATGGTTCATCCGCGATTTTATTTCCTAATTGTAGATTTAGAAAAACAAAAATTGGTGAAAATACTGTATATTGAACATGAAATTAAGATTTTTTTGGAATATTTCTAAAAAATTCCTTTTTTATGATCTATCATGTTTGTGGATACTTACCTCCACTGTATCTGGAATCTTCTTCAATAATGCCAGTGACTCTATCAACACTGACATGAAATGTTCACTGTCTTCTTCAGGATTGGAGTTCAAGTCCTCAGTGATCTTATCATCATCTACTGTTGATGGCACTTCCAAACCTCGGTTTCCTGCATAAATAGAAAATGTACTTGGTGAAAATATTCCTTCAAGGATTAAGACATTCAAGTAGAAGAAAAAGAAGAAGGAAACATTGAAGTAGATTTCAGACAGCTTACCCACGGCCACACACAGAACAGGTGAAGGTGGCAATGTGACTTTGGTAGGCGTTTTGGAAGTGACTAGTCAATACCCTGTGTGACAAACATGGTCTAATTCTTCATTGAAACTTAAAATACACAAGGAACTTTTCAACACCTTTCCCAAAAGGTAATAAGCTACAGTATATTTTCAACAATACAAGCCGAAAATAAAACTTAACCAAGGAAAGATTAAAAGAACACTATAGATCAATGCAGAACCAGTGGCATGGCCACCAACAGTTTAGTCTTGAGCTAGACTGCTCTTTTAAAACATCTTTAACTGCTTTGATAAGAACTTTTCTTTGGATTGCACAATTGCCTAAATTATTTTACTCAATTTTATGCTTTATCGATGTGCCATGAAGGATAGTGAAACAAGTTGTTTATTATTATTAAATATTCAACACTTATATAAATGAAATACATATGGACTGATGATAAATGTAACTTACGCAGTTGAAGCTTCTTAAAACGTTTACTTCCATGAGTTACTTGCTTAAGAGTTGGCTTGTGAGGCAGGGCAGGCGATGACACAAATTCACCTGACACACGCATTGAACTTCCACGCTGAAGACCTGCATGGAAGTTGGTGGCGCTCTTTACATACAGATGGTTATGGAGCTCATTTATCAATGAATGATGTAGTTCCTATCATTTGAAATATAATTAAACACATTTTTTTTTATAAGTCATGTAAAACAACTAAAATAATATATTGTTTTAAAACATGATTAAAACAATGTTTAAATAAAAGGAATTACAGTATTCTTCATTGTTAGGTTATGATTTGTATTTTATTATTTACTTCTTTCTTGTCTTGCATCTCTATCCGTAAGTCTCTCAAAGCTTCAACACCTGCAAGTTCACCTTCCAATGATGCAACTGCAAATAGAAATACAAATCCTTCACTGCTAAGCATCTTGGATATACATAAACATGAGTGCTGTTACAGCATTAAACACACTGTTGCCAGGGCTGGAAAAGTGTGTGACCGCATGACCGACGATAGGAGGCATCATGAATGTCCCGGCATTTTTGGGCAAAAAAATTTTAAAAAGTAAACTGTTGGGCTATATGCCCTATTTGGGCTATATGCCCTAAATAGTGTACAGATAACATTTGGTGTTGGAGGCATTTTATCAAGACAATTTTCATGGTCGGAGGCACAATTATATAATTTTTCCAGGCCTGACTGTTGTCAAAAATGATGTGCATTTTACTGTCTGTCTTAAACTCTGAAAATTCTTCAACAATCATTTACAAAATTGAATTCTTTGATAGAATCAAATAAATTATTAAATCTTATTGGTCACATGCATAAAAATATTAAATTTTGCTGATTTACAGACTCTTTTAGGACAAATTTCAAAACAGTCAATATGTTAAATACATCTATATACGATTAAGTGTTCCATAGCATGACATGCCAGATTTTTAAAAATAGGGTGAATGATAAATGCCCTGTAAACCTGTATCCTGTTATCATCATTCAATTGGATGCTTCTGATTATTATTATGGATTTATATTTAGAACCTGAAAACCTAAATACACATGTGCACATTAATAAAGCTTAGTGTACAACCTATAAATGAGAATTATATATTTTATATTATATTATTTATTATCAATGACTTGGAAGTTATTATATGATTCTGAAAGGTAACTTTTTATATTATTACTATTTCATTATTAATTATTGTAAAAATTATTTTGAAGCATTATTTATATTTATACTTATTATAGATCTATACCATTGTTGGTATCAGATTTAAAGCCTGCATCCATCCATTCTAAATGTACTCTAAATAAATTTTTAAACTTTGATTTCTGAGATTTCACAGCAAAAATATTTACCACCAAGCTAACCACCAAGTTTCTACTTTATTGTACTTATTTATTTATTGTACTTAATTATTTATTGTATTTATTTATTTATTTATTATATTGTACTACAACATAATCCTGCCTGCAATTGTTACACTTTACAGATTGGTACGGTACTGTCACCGAAATCTAGGTCGGAGTCAACATAACTTTTGATTGTCATAATAATTTTTGCCAAACACTTGCCATCCCGCTGATCGATGCTACATGTGTAGAGAAAATTTTACATCCGATTGTAATAAGTTCCTCTTCCTCACATCAGTGATACAAAACAATGGAAGATAAAAACTCCATGTGTAATTTGATTGACTATGTGATTTAACAGTGTATATACATTTTTGAAATTAATATTATTTTTAGTTAAATATTGCTTTTATACACTTTTCATGTTGCTATATAAAGATGAATATAAAAAATGAAAACTTACCAGTTTCTGTAACAAGTTCTGTTGCATGTAGATAATACTTCCTTGAAATAAAGGAATCTAATTTCTGTGGTGCATTCTTTACTTTTTCCCTAAAACCAGGATAAAATTTTTAAATTTTTAAAATAAAAAATAAGATCATTGTGGTTCAATCTGCTAAAATTTTTCGCAAGTTTATAATATAATACAATACAATATAAATAATACATATAAGGCCAAATAAAATAAATTGTTTGTTTGCCCTTCTTTTTAAAAAAATGATAAATAGGAGCAGGTGGAAAAAGTTTTTTTTAAATTTATATATATTTTTAAATAACCCAGAGGCCTAGAATGGCAACATCTTACATCAGACAACAACTTTAGACTAATTTGTAGGGCATCTGGCAAAAAATAAATATAAATTCACTTATATTTTTTTAATTTGTAAAGAAAAAAGCTAAAAAAAAACCCATTTTTTAGGTTTTTTTATTTTTCCGCCCCTATTTTTTCAGTGAGTTAGGGGCGAGTGCAGGAGGGCAAACAGACATTTTTTTTTTGGCCTAATAAAGAAAAACTCCAACTCACAGATTATCCAACATGGAAAGTATGCGTTTCTGTTCAACTCCCTCCAACCAAAGTCTTCTCAATTCATCACGCTTGCAGTGCAGAAGTTCTTTACACGACGTCAGGTCCTCCTTCACCTGACGCATTTTCTCACGAGAGGACTTAATGCGAGCTGATATACTACTGTATGATTGGATGGTCTTTGTCAAGGTTTCATAATTGTCTATATAAATTACAAAATAATTTACAATCAGTGAAGTGTTTAATTACCTTTTGCAGGATTTTAATAACAAAAATTAACTATGTTTAAATATATATACTGTATTTCTAAGTAACTGGAGTCCTTCTATTACTTGATATCTATAACATAGAGTATTTGATAAAACAAAATAATTTAAATATTTTGTCTCATTATCAATGTAGATTGTAACATTAATTATAAGAAAATATAATGGTGTTTGAAGGCTTAATACATGAATTAATGTTTTCTTCTTTAAAAACCACTGGGACTCATAATTGAAGAAAAGATGGTTTTGCAAAATACAATTCAGGAATTTATAGCAAATTTATATTATGATGAAGAGTTTAAGAAAGCTGTTGACATGCAGTGACCTTAATAGCTGATAACAATAATTAAGATAATTATGATGATGAAGATAATGTTAATGAGCACAATGTTCAAGTTGATATTGATGATGATAATGCTGACAATAAAAATGATGAAGAAGAATGATGAAGACAATAATGATGTGGATGATGATAGTGTTTAGTGATGAAGATGTTATAATGAAACAAACTGACCATTAATAAGAGTGTCCAGTTTTTGATCACACTCCCTGTAGGCCTTTTCAATCTTTGCTTTCTCTACTTCTCGCTGTTGTTGGTCCTCACTAAAAGAAGAGGCAGTTGAACACTGGTAAACAACATACATTTCAATTTAATTTGCATATTTGAGTTGCCTGAATAGGACAATTTTCTTCATCCATCCACTGTTGCCTCTGCCACTTACATGCTAACAATGGCCGTATTCGACTGGTCGTTCTTCGTTAAACCACACCCACCTGCGCAGTGATAACATCCTACTTAACGAAGACGACCAGTCGAATAGAAAACTTATAAATACTCGACAAAGCAAAATGGCTGCATAGTTACAGCGATACACGCCGTGTAATCAAGAGTGCTTTGGTTATTCATATTCAATTCAATTCTTTATTTCATTTCCTTTATTTTATCTAAATCATAAATGTAAATTATGTATTAACGCAAATGTTGTTTTTAAACTGACCAATCGGCCATGTTTGTTTTGGTCACATGGACTGATTAACGCATTCTGGTTACGTTAATTTACTTTGTCAATGAAGTCTATTTTACGAATCAGTCGAATGAAAATAATATTAAACGAAAAATCGTAGTCAACGAAATGGACCAGCCAAATAAGCCCAATGACATAGAAAATAGAATAGAATTGAACTTCCAGTCCCAGATTGATGGATAAATTTAGTTGAATACATTTTTAATGCTATAACCTGAGGTCCTATGACGCACACATTAGAGACAGGAACTGAAATGGCCTTTACCTTGCTGACAGTGTACGAATGACAGACATCAGCAGACTTGTCCCAGACTAAAACAGAAACAAAACAAAAAATTATGAAAACATTTAACTTAATATTTCATTTTCACAATTGAAGATGACATACTCTATAGATTAAATGGGTAAAATAAAATCGTAAACAAAGAGTAATAAAAACAATAATACAGGACCAAATACGCCTACTTAATATTTTGCATGTGGAACGCCTTATCGAAGAATGTGATTTTTTAAGTTTCTTTTGAAAATGAACCTATTCAAGATAATAGCAACGTACTTTGCTGAAATATGAATAAAGTGTGCCAAGGGAAGAATTTGATGAAAAAAGCAATAAGAAGTTGCCAGGTTGAAATCAGGACAGTACCCAAACAACTAATCATATAATAAAGCAACCTATGCCACAGCACCCAATATACTGTCACTGAAGGTAGAGTACTGAGTAATTTCTATTTGGCTAAAAAAAAAAGTTTTCCTACCGACCTACCCATTTTTATTTTTTCCTAGAATGTGGCCAACACAATTTTTTTGGCCTAATGAAACACAGTTTTAAAAAGCAGTAACAATAGATTTTTCCCCATCCAGAAAGTTATAAGGGGAAAATAAAATAAAAAGTTATACTCCAACCTACAATTTAGTAATACTAGTAAATAATATTCAAATTAGGTTTGCTGTGTACTAGCACCGTAAACACAATACAGTAAACAAACAGATCAATAATAATAGTGCTTGCATAGAAACATGTTGTTATAATCATATCAAGCATATCCCTTTAGTAATACTACAATGAATTTCAAAACTCAAAATTTAAGAGCTTGATTTATATATCACCTTACAGTAATACACTTGCTTTGCTACGGCATATATTGTCATACCACAATGCTATTTAATCTCATGTGCTGATGAAGCTGTGTTCACACCAACTCCAATTTTGTGGATTGGAAAGCCTACTGAACCAATCAGAAAATCTGACATATTAAAAAAAAATCTATGCTAAGGATAGCCATAGCACTTTTTCTCTAATTTATCAAATGAAGATATGCTGTTGTGTTTACAGTCAACATTGGCTAAGCTGAATACAAAGTGGCTGTGATAGATCATTTCAATTTTTACTTACTCAGCACTGTGCACAGGCATTTGTTATCGTTGATCGTGTGAGAAATGTTCCATTAATTAAAATAACCTATATCAGTGTACGCTAAACTTACCAGGCACCTCAGACGAAAGAATGATACCTTGTCATACTGGAATAACAGGTCTGACAAAGCAGAGCTTCTCCTCTTTCCCACCCGTATCCCACTGGAAAAGTTGGCCCCACTCTGGACACTCAATGCTCCAGACATCACAGAGGGTTTCCTATATACCCTACTATGCATTGCAGTTATTGTGAATAGGAAATTCCAAACAGATAGATGACTGAGTCTGCGTTTAGTAGGGAATAAGTTACTAGACAGCCTGAAAGTTGATTTCCTGATGTATCCGTTCTCAGTTTACAGCTCCTTCTATTATAACTTTACTTAACGGTTCATCAACCTGTTCAATTCCATTTCCATGTGACCACCATTTCTGCTTATGTTTCAGCAACAACCCAATTCAAAGAGAGAGTAGAGTACTGCATAGTGTCGTCCTGAAGCGGTTCTGAGAATTTTTATACTCAATCATAGAAAAAGAAAGTAAGTTGTTTCTGCTAATTATACAGGTCTACAGTGTTTTCCTGTCTATGAATTTGTTCCATGCTGGTGTGCAATTTACATCAAGTACATTTAGATATTCAGGTGTAAAAATTGTGACAGGGGTAATTAGTCCAATTTACATTCAAATTTCAGGAGCAGACGATTTGTTTAATCTGGTGAACTAACAGCATGTAAAATATTATCGTCGTCAAAAAAATAAGAATTGAAACAAAACTGAAACCGTGATTGTTCATCAGCACTTAATCACAACATCCAGACCATATTAAAACAATCGCTAACAAACTTCTTAATTCTAGGACTAATAACTACTAAACTACTACCACTTGTCCATACAGCAATACACTACACAACAATACTAAAAACACTCATCACTATAGCTTATATTGATAGTAAAGTTCATTCCCTTAGAGTGCATTAAGATTCTGTGTTTCCTGTTAACCTGAGTCACTGCTTCCTAGCAATTAAACTTCTGGTTTTTTTAGGTTTGACGGGGCTGTCATTTTTAAAATATGAGATGCTATTTTTAACTACTGGCACGATTGGATTCACCAATAGGGCAAGGGCTTACATTTCAATTTACTCAGAATTTTAAAAATAAATGAGAATGAATGTATGCGAACATTTTTTTAAAAGATATTTTATAATAAAAATGTAAAATACTAAAAATTAACTGAGAACCTTTACATTGCTTCATTTGATCATTATATCTAGCACAGCAACTATACTATAAAAATCAGCATATGCCTACACTGATCTTCATTAACACATTTTCAAAACGTTCGAGCTATGCTAGGCCAAGCTGATACCCAGGAAGTTATCTATTGTAAACTCAAGCCCATCATTGGCCTCGGTGGTCTCTACGCGTCGACTGCAAGCAAAGCAAGGGTGTGTTGGTGATTTGGTTTTGGATAGCAAATAATTAAAAATAATTTAGGCATGTTTATGGCATAAGCAATATTAAACTTACCAATTCATGTGTTCTTTTAGAACCATTATTTGCATCACTCCCTGATGCCATTTTTAGTTATAAATCGGCAAATCTACCCAGGGCCCAGGCTAGGCCTTCCTGTCCGTCCCTCTTGTGTTTTGTGTTTTTGCCGTCTAGAGCGCCACCTACAGTTCAATAACGAATGGACAACATGGAGTCTCCAGAAGCTGAGACAAACCACAATGACCAAAACTCAGAAGCACTCGACGATCAAATTCAATCCATAAATCCAAAAGAAGATATTATAGAGGGTAGAGAAGTTGGCGGTGAATCTTATGGTCAAAGGTAAATATACATTGCTTTTCCTTACTTCATGAAAGTTGCACATCATAAACTAGGCCTAGACTAGGCCCTAACAAAGTCGAGCATGGTTTATCTGCAACATGGCATGTGAAGAAAGATTGAGCGGCAACACCCGGGAAGCAAATGCAACCTGCCTGCACTGCAGGCAGCCTCTACAGAATATAGGCCTAGGGCACCAATCCTAAAACTAAGCTGAAGGCTTAATGAGGTCATAATTGGTTCAGAAATTATGTTCCAATCCTCTGATCGGTTTATAAATATGAGATAATGAAACAATTTGAAATTATTCAAGGTTTGGTAATAGAAGAAAGTGGTTATTTTTCCAACATGTGTGTGCAGAGAATAGGTAGGGTCAAGCCATCATTTAACACACTAGATTTGTGAAATTGTCAGAAAAAGTACCACAGCATTATAGTACTGTAATACTGACTGAGGCTAAAAGGCAATATTAATAATGTCAATGAAGGTAAAAGTCAGAATCTATGTTTTTTTTCTATTTCCAGATATGGTGCACCCCCATTTCAAAGAGGGCCACCTCCAAGGTTTGCAGGTCCACCTCCGAACATGAGATCGCCACCACCTAATTATGGACCTCCCTCTAGAGGAGGTGCTATGCCAAGGCTTCCTCCACCTTTTGGAAGACCACCCTTTGACGGAAGTGTTCCCCCTCCTGGTATGCAGCAGTCCGGTGGTCTTCCCCCAATGCCATTCAATATGCCTCCTCCAATCGGGGTAAGGTTGTCCCCTTATTCCAAATATGTTTTGTGTTCAAATATATTTTTTAATCTGCCAAAGCACATTAATGTTACATTTGTAACATTAACATAATGTACTTTCTTACAATAATTACTATTAAAATTTAATATATATTTTATTATTATTACTATTGTTTTTTTTTTGTCTGAAGAACCATGACTTTGGTAGAATGTAGTTTGCTTTAGTATAACATCAGTTTATAACAAGTACCAATCACAGATACAAATTTTTATTATTGTTTTTTGTATTAAAATTTGGATAAAGACAATTTTTTATTGTTTGTAAAAAAAATTAAATAAGATTTATTGCAATTTTTCTTTTCAGCGTCCACCATTTGTCCCACCTGGAGGACTTCCACCACCATTAATGCCACCTGGACTGTCTCAAGGAGCTCTGTCGTCACCTGCTACCACTAAACCACCTGCTGCAGCAACAACTGTAGCAGCAACACCAAATGTAGCACCAAACCCTACTGTACTAGACCCAAACCAAGACTTCTGGGTGGAGACGAAAACAGCCGAGGGAAAGGTAAGTAATAAATTTTTATTTTTGCTTCATCACAGAAAAAAGTTAATAGAATCAATTTTATCTTATTTAATTATTATAAACATATTTGTACTGTAATAATGTTACAGTACAAATTTGGTAAACCTATCAGATTAGATTCTAACAAAAGCAGGTTTATAAGGGTAAGTTGTTTTTTCATTAGAAGACTAAATTTGATGAATTGCTTTATCAGGTTTACTTCTACCATGCCAAGACTAGGGAGTCCAAGTGGTCAAAACCTGAAAATGCGAAGGTTGTCCAGCAGAGTGAGCTGCAGGCAGCAGCCGCAGCTGTTGCTGCGGCTGCTGCAGCCTCGGGTAATACTGCAGCAAGCAATGTTGGTGTAAAACAAACAAATGCTGCACAAGATGCCTCTAATACAAACATGGCAGAGAATAAACAGCCTGAAAGTCAAGGTAAAACAAAATCTTCTCATTGTTTTAAAATGGTGACTGTATGTGCTATAAGATAGCCAATTAAAGATGTAGAGCTTTGGATATTTACATCACTTTCCTTTAAAGAAAGAATCACATGAAATTCGTTCTTGTCATTTTTTAAAATATTGCTATAATAACTTTTATATGATGTGGTTATTCTGATTTTTTTCAGAAAAACCTCACCTCTCAGTTGCAACTGAAATGAGTAGCCATAACAATGCCAGTTCTGCAAGTAACAAATCAGAAATTGTAACGAATATAGCAAGCCAGCAAACACAAGACAACTCTAAGGTTGCCAACCATCAACAACCAACAACAATGCCTTCAAACATGCCACCAATAAGGCCACTTCTGCCTCTGCCTGGCCAAGGACCAATGATGCCCCATGGACCAATGGGTCTCCTTCCACCTCCAATGGGTATGCCAATGCCCCCTCACCTAGCTGGGATGCCTCGTATGCCAATGCCAGGTAAGTTTATTATTTGAATGTTTTTTAAGCAATCTTTGCCTGACTAATAGAAATTTACACTTACAAAAATCTTGCAAAATGAAACATAACGTAACAAAAATATTAAATTTTTCAAGCTTGTGCATGCACTTCTGTGTAACCTAACACAATAATGATAATTCTTAATATCTCTTAACTCTTTTATTCTATGAATATTGTTTTCAGGTATGATGCCAATGCATATGCCAGGACCCATGTTTCCTCCAGGTCTTTCCATGACTCCACCAGCCGTAGTCGCTATGTCAGCACCTGGAACTGCTGTTGCCTCACCCACACAGAGCAACTGGTCTGAACATCATGCAAGGGATGGACGGCTATACTACTACAACAAGAGAACTATGGAGTCCACATGGGAAAAGCCTAAAGAATTGATAGAAGAAGAAACCAAACCAACTGGTATACCTACCTTTTCATGTGTTTTATTTTATTTATTTGTTTCATATAATAAACAATATTATAAGAGGAGAATTTGATATTTTGTTTTTACATTCTTCATCCGATGCATATTAACAATATAAACATCCTGGGTGATTTATCCTATGATTGGGTGATTGGGTATTGAGCAACACATAGTTATATCTGGACACTCCCATTGATTGTGTAAATATTAGCTTGAGAACACCCGTTGTTCGGTTAGTGACAAGCCTGATGTATATTTTAACAAATGAAAAATGATAACTTAAATTTTTTATCAACTTCAATAGAAGTTAAAGAGGAGGAAACGCCAAAGGAAAACGATGTTAAAAAGGACAGTGAGGAAAAGATGGAGGTTGATAAAGATGAAGAAGTGGAAAAGAAAGAAATAGAAGGAAAGAAGGAAGAAGAAAAAGAGGTAATGTTGCAAAAACATTGGCTGGTTCTGTAATTAAATATAAAAAAATTGTGATGTACATAGTGGATGCATCAAATTATTACCGTCATGTGTGGTCTACCTTTGTTTATTGTTTTCATATAGTATGGTGGCTATTTAATTCTGAGAAGTCATTACTTCACCTGGTCCTGAGTCAACCAAGTGTCCATAAACTCTTATATGTGGTTTAATTTATTCAATACACATGCTCGAAACACTGTATACTGGCTATTTTTAAATTTGAAGAAATTAGTGTTGGGAATGGGGATCATTGTTGAATAAAGACGTTGTTAATGTTTGTTTAATATTGATTTTTATTTACAGACTGAAGAAAAAGAAGAAGAAATGACAGAAGAGGAGAAAGCGGCCGAAAAAGCCAAACCTGTTGCGACCAAGCCTGTTCCAGGAACACCATGGTAATCTCATACCCTGGTTTTTGTTGCAAATATAACTATTAGTACAGCAACTTTTAACAGTCAGCAAATGTACCGACATAATGCTGCCCAGCCAATCAAGAATGTGTAGCACAGAATTTTTACATTTAAGACAGTCTTAGAATCATGCATTTGGGAGTCCATCTGTATCCACCCACATACATGGCTATATTTATTTACCTATCTCAGTGTGAATGTTTACTTACCCTATAGGTGTATTGTGTGGACAGGTGACAGTAAGGTGTTCTTCTTCAACCCCAGTACAAGACAATCATTATGGGAACGACCAGAAGATTTGATTGGACGAGCTGATGTGGACAGAATGGTCTTAGCTCCACCCCCTGATCAAGAAAAGGAAACAGAAAAAAGTAAGATTTATACTAAGATCATTTTACAGTGGTGGATCCAGGAATCAAATGGATAGGGTTTTAATATAATTTTATTTTTCTCTCCACTTTTTTCCATGACCAGCTGCACAAAAGAAGAAAATAGAAGAAGAAACCGCTGTTGAGGAGCAACCAAAGGCAAAGAAGAAGAAGAAAGAGAAACCAGAGAAGGAGTCTAATCCTGAGAAGGATGCATCAATTGAAGCAGAGGTGAAGGCTGCCAGAGAGCGCGCCATTGTGCCCCTGGATATACGCATGAAGCAGTTTAAGGACATGCTGTTGGAAAGATCGGTAATTAAATGGGTCTATTTCACAACTAACAAGTTATATGTCCACATTCTTACAAGGCAATATCTTGCACTATCAATAATTACTTCATTTGTTAGAACGAGTGACAAAGTAATGAAGATGGAATCATGAGCGCTGGCACACTTGTGGGATGCCCAGGTGGACGGTTCTACTTTCTTTTGGGGGTTCATTTAGAAACGTTGGAAAGAGTTATACATCACTCATCGGGGCAGATTTGGGGGGTTCGGCCCTGGCACCCTGCTTATAGACTTACAACATCACAACTGATTTGTGTAATATTTATGCTTAATATATATCAGTAGTATAATAAAACATGAATGTCTAGAATTAATACATATTTTTGTAATAATTCATTAGAAATTGTATGAGGTTTGTTCAATATTATGATTAACAAAATTCTTTGTATCTCTGTAGGTATCTGCTTTCTCTACTTGGGAGAAAGAACTTCACAAGATCGTGTTTGATCCACGCTACCTCTTACTGAGCCCGAAGGAGAGAAAACAAGTGTTTGAAAAATATGTGAAATCAAGGGCAGATGAGGAAAGGAAGGAAAAAGCACAGAAAGTGAAACAACACAAAGATGAATATAAGGCACTGATGGAAGAAGCTAAACTAAACCCCAAGTAGGTAACACAGCAAATACGTGTGGGATTCAGGATGGGAAAAATAAATCCACTGACTGACATAATCTATTCAGTTCAATCGATCATTTCGATAATATATTACACGCTCTGTATAGAGTACAACACTAGTGTCGCCACAACACCAGGTAGCGCCCTTTGTTGTCAACCAGACGTTGGTAAAGCGGTTGTTACCTCTGAATGACTTTATAATCTTAATGGTTTAGAATAAGCTTTCTGAAATAGGCATTTAAAAACCTAATAATTTACCTTAAAAAAATGTACTAAAACACAAAAGCTTGCATTATATTACTTATTGAACACATATTTAATCATTAATTAAAATTTTCAAAGAAAAATTAAGATACATCATAATAATTATGTTAGAAAATGGGATCAATGGATCTGGTTGAACGGAGTAGTATCACATGATATCGTGACATAACAACATAGAAATCTGTACTGACAAAACATTGTATATTTTCCTCATCCTTATTCTTAGGTCCACGTTCAGCGACTTTGGCCAGAAGTATGGAAAAGACCAGAGGTTCAAGAACATTGAAAAGATGCGTGAACGAGAGGGCCTCTTCAACGAGTACATGATTGAAGTACGCAAGCAAGTGAAGCAACAAAGCCAGAGCAAGTTAGAGAAGGTAGACCAATTTGTTGCCAGTGATCGGGTGAAAGAAGGGTGTATGAGAGGTTGGCTGTTTCTCAAAATAGTGGCCAAATTTTAACCCCATTCCCTCCTCTTATTTTCTCAATTATAAATTTCTTTAAAACAATTACTGAAAGTACTAAATTGGACTATTTTGTAAAAAAAAAACAACAATCAGTGCATGCATAATACTATAAGTTATGTTCAAGAGAAACTATGCTTAAATAATTCATTATAATGCACACAATTTTGAGAAGCAAGCAGAAATGGTTGTATATTTGACTTAGTTTTCAAGAGAAAATGTTGAGCTAAGTCACATACACTGCAAAGTACTGTATGAATTTTAAATACTTCCATTTTTGACAACCTGAGTATGGTGTGACAAGAGATTTTTCCCTTAAATTTATTAGTCAATAATGTCAACATGTATATCATATGAAGACAGCACAAAACTGTGAAATATCCTGTATGTATATGATAATAGTATTTTAAAACTCTGATGATAATTTTTGCGGAACTGCACAAAAAGAAATATTTTTATTTGTTTATTAATCGAGTTTGCCAAGGATTTTGTTCTGGTTAAATTTATGTTTACTAAGCTAACAGGCCTTATTCTTTTTAATACCAAGAATGTAGCCTTTACAGGAGTTCTAAGCAGACCAGAGCTCAAAGTTGAGCCGAGAACCCCTTGCCAGGTGCATTATCTGAAAAGGAAAGGAGCAAAGCATTATGGGTGATATAAATCTTCTGCAACCTCATTGGCCAGAGAGCTCTGGTACTAAAATGTTCTATAACTTGAGCAGGTGAAGTGATTATCACTGAGAGAGTATAGCTCTCTGCTAGGTGTGTATTAGTTACCTGGCCATGGCGTGTCAGTGAGTTCCTCTCCAGTTGAGTATGAAAACTACTTCAGAACATCTCTTCAATTTATGAAATTTCTGTTAAAAAATCGACCGTTTTCTAAAAAATATATTCTTTCAAATCATCTAATAGATTAATTGGATTTATAGATTTCATTTTTTTTTATATAATTGAAGAGTTATTATGAGATATGTGAATAGTTTTCATACTTAACACTCCTTTTTTGGTACTGATTTGACAACGTGTGCTTACCTCTGGCATAATGGAACAGTGTGTTTCCATAAGAAAGACTTCAAGATGGTTTACCTTCAATCTTATTGGTGGACAACGGATATATACTTAATGGGAAGTGTTGCGTGATTTAGTGGGTGGGTTTCCATTTAGTTAAGATTTACTTTCAACTAATGGAAATTTCAGGCCATGGTTGGAAAATAGCACACATAATGTTATAGAAAACATTACAATAGTTGTTTAAAAAAAACTGGCTGTAACACCACAAAATGTAATACTTAAATTTAAAATCTATTTTTAAACTATACAATTAAACCAAATTAAAAAATCTATGTAATGTAAATCAGATAGTAAGTGTAGTGAAGGTTGATATCACTTGGTAAGTATCTCATTGTAAAGCTAACTGCAGGGGCGGATCCAGAATTTCAAATGGGGGTGGGGGGCACAACAGTTTCAGAATAGATAAGTGAGTAACACATAACACTGATATGCATTGAAATTATACAAATTTAGTGTCAAACAGGGGAGGGGCACAAGCTTCCCATTCCCCCTTACTGGATCCGCCCCTGACTTGTCCTTAGGGAATCTCCTGTTAGGCACACAATTAATTAAGAAACAGTAAATCATCCATTCGAACTTGTATGGAACTGGTTTTCCTTCTGTTACGATTTTCAGTTGAAAACCGACTTCTATGCACTCCTTGAGGAGCAAGATGACATCACAGTCAAATCACGTTGGAGTAAGATTAAAGAATATATGAACTCTGACCCCCGATACAAGGCTGTTGAAAGCAGCTCACAACGAGAACTCTGGTTTAAACTGTACCAAGAAACATTAGACAAGGTATGTTCATTCTCATTTTGTTGTATTAAATATTCAGATTAGAGAAAAGGATGTTTATATTTTCAAGGCATAAATGGATGAAAATTTTAAAAAGAGTCTTTTTCACTTTTTAATTCTTACGGAACTTAAAACAAGTAACATGTTTTTTTCTTTTAAAGCTATGACCATAAGAATTGCTATTAATTTTATTTTGTTATGAAATGTTTAATAATAATTCTGCAAATGTGATAGAGAAAAAAATAATCAGAATATTTAACAATAGCTTTCATGCATAAGTTCAACAATTGAAGGATGGTGATAATCATAAACTTTTATTGATAACAGACCTACCAGTAAATTAAAGGTGATTTACATTAACGTTAAAAGTTTTTCCACACTATCAATTTTTATGTGACCAATACCTGTAATTTGCTCATATATGGTGTGATGACATGATCATTTATATCCAGCGGACAAATCACATGTCACAGGAAAGGTGATAATGTGGAGAGAGCTTTAGGTTAAGGCATCAGGTAGTACTACCTTACCCGACACTTTCATTAAACGTCAACAAAAATGTTGTATTTTTTACAGGAAGCCAATAGAGAACATGAAAAGCAAAAGCGTGCCGAGGCTAGTATTCGTCAGCGTGAAAAGGAAGTGCAGATGGCACGTAGTGAACAACAGAAAGAACTTGACAGGGAGAGAGATCAGTACAAGAAAGACGAGGCTATACAGCATTTCAAGGCACTCCTTGCAGATTTAGTAAGTGATGTGTGTATTTGGAAGGTAGTGTGTGTTGGGGTGAGTGTGTTGTGGAAGATAACTTTAGTGCATTTGTATGAGTTCATATGGTGCTGGAAGTGAGGGGAATATTGGAAGGATAGTCAGTTTGGAGAGTTACTGCTAGTTTGAAGTTTAAGTAGATTCTAAGAATCATATATTACCTTAAAGTCATACTTAAGTTCAACCTCAGTCTTGCTCTCATCAACTGTTAGGTTCGTGATGCAGATTCCTCTTGGCGTGAGACCAGAAGACAGCTGAAGAAAGATCACAGATATGAATTGGCACGCTTGCTTGAGAGGGAAGAGAAAGAGAAGTTGTTTAATGAGCATGTAAACAGTCTGCTACAGAGGAGACGTGACAAGTTTCGACGTCTTCTGGATGAAACATCAGGGGTATGTTATACAGTATTAATAGTAATAGTCTTATGGTGCACATATTGTGGAGACCTCTATGTACTTATTACATAAACTTGAAGAAAAAAAAAACGGTCCAAGAAAGTAATGCTAAGTCTAGCCCTAAAGACTAGCTAACCCTACTCCTTGTAGCGCCCTCTGTTCAGAACAATCAGAATACTATTTGAATTTACTATGGTTCTTGAGATAAATATTCAACACTAGATTTCAAAAATCTGTATTCCAAACTTTGCCTGATATTGCCATAATGAAAAAAGTCATGGAATACTATAGTACAGTAATAATCCTAATAATCCTAAGGTTAGCCAGTAGACACGGTGCCTAGATCCTACCATTTTAAACAGCTTATGCAATAACATGCTATAATACTAAAGCATGAAAAAACTGATTTCATTCATTCTTGTAAGGTAATTTCTCTTCACCTTTAATAACACTCTGTTACTTTTTATTACAGATCACACTGACCTCATCATGGAAAGAGGTCAAACGAAAAATAAAAGAAGATAAGAGGTATACTAAGTTCTATGTCAGCGACAGGGTAAGTACAGAAATACCCTACTTCTGAACAAATAAATACTGATACATTCTATCATTCTTCTATTTCCCCCTCATATATAATAGAATAGTCCATACCAGTGCAGCACTATAAACACCACAACACATGATCTCATGCCCTTCTTTTTTCAGTTCATAATTACATTTTCTATATTACTTGATTATTGTGTTCTAAACAAGCTAATGATTATCTTTTTAGATGAAAGAACGCGAGTTTTACGATTATTTGAAAGAAAGATACAACACATCTAAGGCAGACTTTAAGTTGTTACTGATGGAAACAAAATCCATCACACACAAGTAAGTGTTTTCTTTGTTGTTTATCTTGTTCAATTCCTGTGTAGTTTTTGGTTTTTGTAGAGTGTTCATGGACGAATCCTGGAAATTGGAATCAAGGCAAATTGATAGGGGCTCTATTTTGATAATGTTTTGGCTTTAAGAAAATAAGTTCATCTTTCTGTGGGTCACTATAGAGTTTACGAGACCAGACCAGTGCCAGGCAGCGTTGGTGACATCAAAGGGGAAAACACATTAGTTGGTTTTCTTGGGTTAACTTGGATTAGTCAGGTGTTAAATGAAATAATTTAATGTCAAAAAGTAGATTTATTTAATTGTAATTACTCCACTGATTATTTATTCCTCAGATCCAAAAAGTTGTTGGAAGAGTCTGATCAGCATTTACATGATGTCGAAAAGATCCTATCAAAGGACAAACGTTACACATGCCTAGAATGCATCGAGGATGAGAGGAGAGAGATTTTAATTGATTATATCAATGACCTTCACCGCAAGGGGCCACCCCCTCCCCCGACTGCATCAGAGCCAACCCGTAAGCCGATCATGAAGTGATGTATTTTTAATAGTTTGATTTTGGAGTCAAGTTTAATTTTTTAGATTTTCGATACAATGGAATCAAAGAAGTAGTTGTTATTAAGCTGATAAGAATTCTTAATTGGTATGATTTTTTTGTATTTACCAGAATTATGACATTTTTACAATAGCATGGTTACATTTGGTGTAAAAATTATGCTCTAATTAAATCTGTTCAAATCCTTTGCCCTTGTATGGTCGATTTTTCTCGGCTAATCTTTATTTTTTTCTGCCACTCTTTCATTCCACTTACAAGGCCTTGTGTGGACAACTTGATGGCATCATTTAGATAGTACAGTACTGTGCAAACAATTATATTATTTTATTCGTAATATTTTTCTTTTTTTTAAATAGAATATAATGCATAATTAATCAGGGTAAACTATCAGCTCTCCATTACTGAGGAACTGGTGAAGGGGCGACCCTTATCAAGTCCATAATATACCGACTGGCACTACAAGAGATCTCACACAATCTTAGGCTTAGTCCCACAGTTACAGTTAGGGCAGCCCTATTAATAGAAATGTGAGAATTGTTTGATACTCAATCTATGGTTTATGATAGACCAACTGCTAATTTCAACAGCATTCTCCTATTACTACTTTGTACTTCTCCGAAGAGGAACAGATCTGTTAATTTCTTTGAATCGCAATGGTTGTTAAGACACAACCATGAGCCTTTGTTTATCTTTAATGAGAACTCAGTATGAATTCCATTGTAAATGTTTAAGAATGTACTTCACATGTCAACTAAATTTCAAATCTGAATGTAAATATCTTTCTGGTGATTTGTTTATTTTGTTTGATTAATCTTCAATCAATTTCTTTCCTTGTACAATGTCAAATAAATGAGTCTTATACAAAAATCATACCTAGTTTTGTCTATCTTAATTTTGTCTCTTAAGCCCTGTCAACACTATAACATTTTATGTGACATTTGATATGGCCATATGTGGTTGTACAGTAATATGACATCATCATCCATATGGCACATCACACGAAATAGACCTTTCCGGAGTGTCAATCAAACTTAACAACTGACTAATCAGAACAACGCTAGGAATACGAGTGCGTCTCACAAACACACGTGTTCGTGCGTCGTGTGTGGGACCTTAGCAACAATATCCAAGGGGTGGGGCTTAGTGGAAAGGTCCATTGTCACATAAAATTTTATTTTATGACATCACATTATGAACCATATATAGGCACATCATGACTATATATGGGCATACAACAATTTTTTGCCAAAGAAAATTTGATAGTGTGAACTGAGCTTTAAGCTCTTGGTTTATCAAATAATTAAAATAATAATTTGGCCATGATGGATGTCGCATTGTGTTTATATGGGCCAATCGCATACACATGTAAAAAAAAAATTATAGTGAACAGAGCTTTGAGAAATTTGGAATTTTGTAACTGATTTCATGTAACCACAATACTACTACAACCTTCCTCCACACCAACCACTAAAAGAAAAAAACAGGAACTGGTAGCCACTACATCCTGCTTTATTAATACTGTACTCATAATGATTATTAATTTTACATAATTTCACTAACATAATTTTTGCAATGGTCTGAAAGTTTAATTAGCTAATTTGGTTTTTTTTCATGTAGCCAATCCAAACTTATTCTTTAATTTTTTGAGGTTTGAATGTAAAACTTGTGTCCTGTTGCACCATCCTTCACATGCTTGTAATCGCTATCATTTTCGCCAAGGCGCTGTGCAGGGCAGCTATGAGGGCGTTTTCCTTGATAAGTTGTGTTGTAAGTTGTTTTCATAGACAGCATGCCAGAGGATGTGCGAGGGCGTGGGTCTGGACGACAACTCTTTGCTGGTTTAGCTGGCGCTCCAAGGAATTGGGATTGGAAAACAGATTTTCCCATAAGAGGAGTGGTTGGTATCTTGTACTCTTGGACAATCTAAAATGAAATGGGGAAATTTGGAAATTGTTAAAATCAAATATAAATATGATAGTAAACCAGAAAGTAAAGACGAACCAGAAGTTGCACTTTGCACGTGCCAAGGACATTGTTTTATCTCACTTTTTAATTTTCCAATAAAAAGTGGATAAAAACATCCTTTAAATTAATCAAGGCTTCCTACCAATTTCCTTGGGAAACTAAGAAAATTATCCTTATGCCTAAATAATTCATTCATTCATTCACTCATTCATTCATCAGTGGACATTGTCATACCTTGTAAGAGGTCGCTGGTTTAGCGTTTTCCCAGGCAACAAATGACATCTTGTACTGGGTGCTGTCTTCGAATGGCACTGGCTCTCCAGCTCCGAGGTTGTCATCATACCGGCACGGTTCTCCACGGCACTTGCTGAGAGTCATCAATATCTCTGGATTCTTGTAGTCGTTCTGATATGATGTCACGTTCATAAATTTGCTCTTGATATAGGGGCCGGTCTTGTTCTTTTCTGCCCAAGGAACATATGCCTTTGGCTGCACCGCCCATGCTTTGTAAGCACTTCGCTGTGTAGTTTGTCCATCAAATTTAGTCTCTGGAAAACAAAAAAATGTTTTCTAATGACGATAGATCATCCAATTAACATTTAAAATATAAAATGTTTACATATTGCCATTATTGGTGTTGTCTTATTGATTTAAAAAATTACCGTTTTCAACATACAACGCCCTTGGTTTATAGCTTTGTTCGCGTTTGTGATTTTTGTGCTCTGGGAAATCGCGTCGAAATGTCGTCTGGCCGTCAAATGGTGATGATTTTTGTCCTTTTGTTAGCTGCTCCTGTGGTTTTACCATTACTGCCGGTTCGGTAGTTTTCGGAGTGAATTCGGCATGGTGGATAGTTTCTGCCGTGAAAGGTTCCTTTGAAGCAAGTGGCTTCTCAATCGGACGCATTGATTTAGCAGGAGATACGTTTTCATGCTGCCGGAAATCATCCTGCAAATTTAAGTCCAAAGGGAAAGCATGATAAAGCTAGGCCTATATGTGAATACTTGTCCATTATGGCCGGCCAAGTACAAGTAATACAAAATTACAAACAATAATAAAATCATATATATCCCTGTTTGAACTACCTGAACGGCCCTGCAAATACCTAGCGGTAGTCAGGGGTGACGCCAGGATTTGCCCGACGGGGCGGGGAGGGGGGCGCGAGCCCCCGACGAGGTGTCAGGTTTCCCCGACGAAAGCAAAGTGGGCGTGGTCGGGTTTCGATTAAAAGGCTAAGAAAATGGTCCTGGGGCCGAAGCCCCCGAAAATTTCGACAATTTAGGAGTTTCAAAGGCTTATTTAATCGATTTTAGAGTTTACTAATATGTAAAAAATACATATAATATTTTTTTCTCCCCGACAAATTGTTTTTTTTCTTCCCGACGGGGGGGGGGGGCAGCTATCACCGACGGGGGCCCTGGCCCCAGGCCCCCTCCCCCCGCTGGCGCCAACCTGGTGGTAGTCCTAATACATAATTATAACATGATAATGCTTTTACCTGTACTGTTGTTGTTGCAGTGAACGTTTCCTTAGATCCAGTCTTAAGGTTCTCTTCAGGTTTGTTTGCAACAGTTTTGCAATAATCAATTTCATCCCGATCAAATGGCGTGTAAGTTGCCTGGGTAACTGAAGTGTGTTCAAACGGTTTACTAAATGCCACTTTCTTCTCCTTGGGTTTAAATGACTGGGCTGGCACGGCTTTTTTCTCAGTAAAGTCGATGTCATATGTTGATACAACATTTAGTTTAGTGGCCGGAGGCTGGTATATTGCACGAGACTTCTTATCTAATCGATTTGTCTGTCAAAAAAGTTGTCAAATTATTTCATAAAGTAACTATGTAATCTAAACGTAGACATAAGGAACATAAAATATAACATAGGCCTATTAGTAATATTCTAAAAAGTCTAAATGGAGGCCTAAGAACGTAGCCACAAAATATAGGCCTTATAGAATATCAAAAATGTTTATTGAATGACAGATAAGTTTACTGTTTGATTGATTGAAGATTGATTGATTGAATGATAATTCAAATTGATCGATCATATAGTTAATTGATCAACTGATAATACTACGATCGATTAGGCCGGCAATCGATCAATTTATTTACTTATACTGTATTTATTCATTGATGATATTCATTGCTTAGAAAGCCCAGCAAAAATAGTGACTTACTTTATGTTGAACATACGTCTTCTGGTAAGTAGTTGCTAGCTCGGTGCCAACTGAAGGTACTGTTGTACTCTTATTAATAGTTGTGCGCATGCTCTCACGAGGAGGTTGCCATGGCCAACTTTTGTAGGCCTGAAATGTAAAGATGTAAAACAAAATCTCTTTTCTTATTAACTTTTCAAACATACACAAATGTTTCCTCTATATTTTCATTTTTATATTATAACCAATGACTTTTAACTGTACTGTAAAAGTCCTTCATTATACAGTATGTATTAATATAGGCCTAAATTAGGTAGGTACATGTATTTTATAAACTATACATTGAATTAATCAGTAACTGCTGTTAAAGTCAACAAATAGTAATATAAACTGCATCATAAAGAAATCACCTACATATAGTAATCAGCTCTTCTAACTAAAAGTAAATAATAGCATAGGCCTAGATGATAGGATAAGCATAATTAAAACGATTATTGTTTATTGATGTAAGTATTCAGTATTTAGTTGGTCTGTTATAGTTGCAAATGTTACTGTAGTAGGCCTAATATCAAACAGATTATCACATTAGGTAATTATGTTTTACAGACTTATTTTAGTATTATATTTTACAAACTTACATGTTGATATTCAGACAGATTACAAATCCCCTTCACTAGCGGATTTTTTAGCACCTGTTTGGACAGCTTTTCGTGGGAGCACCGGTGCCGCCTACAAGCACATAGAAAGGAGGAATAAAGAGAATCCATAGATAATACAATAGAAACAAAATTACACGAATTAATTAAAGTGATTGGGTACTATAATGGCCTACTGTATAACAAAACATAAATTATAGCTAATGATAATCAGAAACGAAAAAGAAAATAAAATTCTTTCTCATTTTAAATAGTCGCCTGGCGTTCAAACATGCTACACACATTGCACTCGAATCAAATATTTTATTTTTAATAATCTTATAAATAAATTCAATTTACTACTGTTGTATAGCCCGAGTTTTGTATTCGATTATTAATATTCTGTAGTAAACTTGTAATAATATATTAATATAATATCATTAAACAGGCCTGTTAAACTTTAATTCCAGTGCCATGTAATTTCTTGTGCCGGTACGTTTCACACGATCATGAAATCAAAAACATCGGTCGTCAACGTACCAAAATAGATAGAGTACATATGTAGATACAGTAATATCAACTGAAAAACATTATTTGTCATTCACTTACCCACACTTGCAAATTTGGCAAATACAGTTCATTTTTAGATATATATGTATTTATTTAGACAAATATGCCAGTGGCAGTCTGAAGATATTGGTGTCTGCTAAGTCACGATGTCCATGTACTGTTTTTTCGTCGCCAAGTTCTTGTTCCCATGGCATAGAATACAAACGTACGCGTTTCTAATACCCTCACCAAGCGTTATAACACGCGCACGCAGTATTCGGCGTTTGCTTGTGCGCAGTAGAATTATAGGGTCTTATCTTCTAAAGCCATTGAATTAACTTTAACTTAAATAAATTTGAATTGAGAATAAAATATCATCTTATAGACATTTCGTTTTAGTATACTGAATAAACATGATTAGCTACGGTAATAATAAAATAATTATGAGAAACCGGGGCGACTGAAGCACATAGTATAAACAGCAGAATGTCCAAAGGTGATAAATGAAATTGATTCATCTGATTTTTTGGTGTTTGTGTAAGAACGAAGAACTGTTACATTCCTAATTTTTTTCATATATTGATATATAATGATAGTGACTTGTACACTTTAGATTTAATGTAACTGGTGTCGACATAATTAAATTTCATAATTAAGTTTTATGGGCATCCTATAAAGATGCCTATAAAGCGATGAAGAAAACAAAATCGAAGACTATTTTGTACATTCTGCTTTACACACATAAGCCTAGGCTAGGTCTATTACATAATAAATATTCCATCATCGGATTTGGTTTGTTTTGTCACTCACGCTAGACGCATTGGTGTCATCTTTTGGCTTGTCTATTTCAATACGGTGACGGAAAAATAATAAACCCCTCATTGTTGCACAATTAAATTAAAACAATAAGAACACAATTATTATTTTACTATAGTATATGTTCATAAGCGCGAGAACATTTGTAGAAGGGGAGAATGTGGTAGGTTTGTTTTTCCTTTTATAGTCAGATTCAACTGGGTCAATTTAAAAAAATAATAGGGGAGAAGGGGTGGCTAATCCAGAATTTTAACATGTGTGACCATATCACAGAGTACAGAATTGCGTTTTTGGTTTTAATGTTCAGTTTATCTCTTTTCTGGTAAAGGTAATGATTTTCACGATTAAAATAACTCCACTAAATTTTATAATTGATGAGCAGCACATCCATCTTGCGAGCGAGTCCCTTGATGCATTATAGAGTTAATGTATAAATCATGCTTGCATCATAATGTGTTATTAATGTTAGTCCCACCCCAGCAAGTTACCGCCTGATTTCCAATCGCTTCCTTCTCAAAACACTACGATACACCATTAAAAAAGAAAATTCATCCAAAGAATACAAAAATATAAAACTTTTTATCACCTATAGCACCTGATGTAAATTCGGAGATCAAACAAGTGGATATCAATAACTTACCGGTAGTAATTAAGTACAATATTAAACTTTAACCTCGTCACCCACACTGATCTGACCTGTATATGATGAACCTCCAATAACAAGGTATGAATGCACAGAACAAGCAGGAACAGAATAAAAATGAATTTTGCTAGGCATTATAACTGTACAGTGATTCGTTAGCCTGATCGATCTATACGCTATAAATATGGCTTCAGTAATTGACATAGACATTGATGAAGTGTGTGTATACAAAAACAAACTTGTTGCACAATACTGTAGCATAAGTACACATAAATTTTCTTTGATTTAAATGTGTATTTATTGTACTGTACTTCTACAAAAGAAAGCTTTTTATAATACTGATGACCATTCATATAGAGACTTAAAGCCAATGTCCATCTATAATTTTAAAATATGGGAAAACCATAAACATTCAACACTAACATTTAATAGCCCATTTAAAAAGATCAATAAATTTAATCACATCAAAGAATACAATGCACAGATCGTTTTTCGCTGTTTTACAAACCTTATTCCACAATTTTTTTAATTGATTATCAGACAAATATAGGTCAAAGCATAAGTTAGATATTTGTCTGGGATAATTTCTTCCAATTTTCGATTAAACTAAAATTATACAAAGTAAGCAATTCATATATTTTTTGTTGCGATTTTTTTGCTTATTACAGACGGTATAAGTGCATCAGAGAAAGAAAAACAATCAATGTGAGAAACAGCTCCGGGAACAGCTCAGATATTGTAAAACATG